ACTCGAGGTGTAGAATGTCATTTGATTCATGAACATTCTAAGATGTTAATCAATAGAGTCGTCATACTTATAAAAAACAAGCATTCTCCATTTATCCAACAAAGGCGTTTCCATTATTCCTAGCGTGAATGCAAGCATCCTTACCATATTACAGTTGCCATAGACGGGTGATCCTTTCTAGCCCCTGAACTCCCCTCATGGGTCATCAACAAGACTCCTCATGCTACTTGGTTTGCATGGGTTGAGTTGATGCAAGAGGCACAAAATTCTTGACACTTTTTTCTTAACTCATAGTTGTGTTTTCAACACGAAGGGTCCTCAACTATTCTTCATAATTCCTCTACATCTCATTCATTTATCTTTGCAAGTTTCTCATCATTTCTATCAGATTAGGCTGGCTATTTGTTTCTTCTACAACCACGTTGTTTGTCATGTTCCTTGTAGTCATCATGGGATTAACAAGTTGTTCTCTCGAACCCACGGTGGATACCAAAATATTTCGGGTGTTGAATCGATTCTTCTAGCCTAGGTTATTAGTCTTCAACTAATCGCTCACAAATCTAAGTCTTATTCGTCAAACATCGGTTGATGAGTGATGCTAAAATTAGATTGGTTCAGATTATAAGGGTAATAAATGTGTAATTAATGTGTAATCTTTCTTCTTACCTCACACCACCATTTATAAAAAATTTTGATGGACTTTTGATTAGGATCAACCTAATTATTACTCAAACATGACTAATCATGATTTAACCTTTAATAAGATGGTTTTAAAATTAATTTGTTTTAGTTTGATCAACTGGTCTCCATAATGTTTCGGATCTAATAGTTCGACTATTACTAGACAAGTATGCTCTACATAAACAATGATCAAACATAAACCAAAACCCAATTAACCTTTTTATAGTAAAACCCACGTAACAATAATATGTACTCAAACCACACCTAAAAAAAATACCAAAACTAGTTAGCTTCTGTTATCTACCTAAAATTAATACATAAACCTTCAAAGTTTCTCTATGTAACATTGTTTCTCACCAAATGTAATACTTATTCACTTATTTAATATATATTTATAAACTTAACTTTTACCCTTTAACACCCTAGATTAAAAGAATTTATGTAATATTTTTAATAACAACAAAATATCAATTATACCGGTATATCTTTTTCTACATTTATTTTCATCTCTTAAAAATATTTGAAATAAAAATAATAATAAATCATTACATCTTATAATAACTTTTAAATAAATCCTTTTAAAACTAATTAATTACCAGCTCGTCTATTTTCTTTTAATTATTATAATTTTACATGATCTTACAAATTCATAAAATAATAATAACATACAAAAATAAGAATAAAATCATAAATAATAATTATAATAATAAAAATATTAAAAATAATAACTAGGAAAATAAACTCATAAAATATTAATAATAGTGTTTTACTTTTAATTTTTTTTTTAAAAAAAATCTGCATATTTTAATATGTAACTAGTGTTTTACTTTTTAATTATGTGAAATAAGATTGTAAGGTCCTGGAAACTATAAATGCTATTGGGTCTTATTTTCTGAGGCAGCCAAGCCCAAAGGGCCAAGGGCATCATGACCTTAGAGAGGGTCTCATCTTTTTCAACTCTGATCTTATTATCCAGTTCCTCCCTCTCTCTCTAAACTCAGTTTTCTCTAAGCCAGCTCTGCCTTCTCTCTACTCTTACTCACATTCGAACCGTTGCATTTTCGATTAGGTGGTGTTCTTTCGCTCACGGAGTTGAGGGCTTCCTATCCATCCGATTAGATTTTCCTTTGGACGGGTAAGTTGGTTTCTACTCTCTTCTCGGACCTAGGGCATGCAACTTTACTGTTGCATGCAACTGGTAGTACTCCTTTTTATTCTCTGCCTGTTCTAGCTCTAAGAGCTGTGTTGTCTCCACTTTAGTGGATTGTAGGATCTTGTTGGGTGTTGACTGTGTAGCTATCAAAGCCTTGCTACTATTGTGAGATGTACTATACTTGTAACCACATGGTAAGGGGAGGTAGTTGTATGTTTTAAATCTGTTTTATAAATGTGTATGCATGTGAATATTGAACTGGTATGTTGTCAGAGTGGTATGTTTGTTTGAGCACGTTGTATTATATGTATTGTTATGTGAGAACCATGGACTGTGTTGTGATGTAATGTACTGGGTGGATGAGTATAACTTATTGTAATTAATCAGGTTAGGAGTGGTCCATGGTGTAAAGTAAGTCACCACCTTGTTTTGAAAGACAACATAATGGATTGGTAGTGGTTTAGGTCTCTTGAGAGGAAGTGAGGTAGTGATTTTGAGAAGTAGGGGTTCGGAGCACAATGGGGCTGTTGGGACGTCTTAGACAAGTCAATTGTGACTTGTTAGGGTCATAAAACTAGACCAAAACGAGTTGCAAAGGTTAGAATTTGATTTGGGTGCTTAAGTTATTGAATTTGGTGTTCTAGAGTGGAAACTAAGTCTAAGTCACTTTAGAAGTGTAGTAACAATGTTTTTCATCACCTAGGCAAGTCTAACTAAGTATATAATATGAATTGAAGGCCTTAGAAGTTGGCCAAGAGGTCTAGAAATGGTAAGAACTGGTGTGAGTGTGTGATTTTGCAAAATTCGCATTCTGCAGATGATGCAGAGTCGCTATGCGAGCTTTCTTGCATAGCGAAACCCTATAGAGGGTGTTCACTGTCTGGGTAATTCGCCATGCGAGCTGGTGCGCTGTGCGAATTACCAAAGGGTGTTGCTCTTTGTTTGTGGACTCGCCTAGCGAGTCCTGTCGCTATGCGACTAGTGGTGGTCTGGGACCACTGCCCATTTAATTCGAAGAGCGAGTGGGGCGCATAACGAGAGTTTAGGGAGGGTTGGTCTCTGTCTGGATTCTTGCATAGTGACCTAGGTGTGCTATGCGAGAAACCGAAGTCTAATGCTTGTTTAGACTTAATTCGCAAGGTGACCTGGGTGGGTGCGCTATGCGAATTGTGCCAGTCTCGCCATGCGAGAGTGGTGCACTGTGCGACAAGTGTGGAGTCTGGTCCATTAATTACATCTTCTATTGTATTTGACTGATGTGTTCTGTGGTTGATTGGTGAAGTATTTCCCTGCATCAATAGTATTGTACTGTGATGTTCAAACAAGTATGTGGTTGGTATCAAAAGTGTATGGTTATAAGTGGTGGTAAGATGATCAAAGTGGTAATCCAAGTTCCATCCGTGTAGGATCTCTTGGTGAGATTCTTAGTGTTTAGAATGTAAGTAGGAGCTCAGTCTTGGGGGTCATCCTGAAACTACAATGACCTTTCTTCTCATGTAGAGAGGATTAGACCATCTGGTGAGGAGTAGTAGGAGGTCTTAGTCTTGGGGGCTTCTAGTATGCCTCAAGGCCCAGAACAGGCTAACCTTGTGAGTGTGGTAGGGCGGGGGAGCCCAAGTTTCATAAGTCACCACGAGTGCAAGACCCGTCATAGCTCGACTATCATTCTAAATTCCGGACGAGTCAAGTCTAGAGTGTTCATCATGTTAGGATGTGTGTTTACCTTGGTTGACTTAATTTAAAGCTTGTATGTACATCTTGTATTATTGTATGCTTTTTATATAATTAGCTCATCCTTCCTTTTGTGTTGTATGTTGGTTGGGTATGTTTCTTCTTGAGATGATCATCCACTTGGATGGGAGCAGATGTCGAGGAGGAGCCATTGGAGCAAGCCTTGGAGGAAGAGAATGTCGAATCCTAGTTCCCTTAGGATACTAGTACTTTAAATTATGTGTTTTAGAACTCTGTTTGTGGAACTTATGTTATTTTGGAAGACTCTTGTACTTCAATTTTAGCTTCACAGTAGTTTAAGGATAACTGTAATTCCTATACTATGTTACATGCTTCCAACTGCTTTCTATTATTATAAGTGTGTGACGTCTTTATTATATATGCATGCCTTATATTTTAGGAATGTCACAAAGATCTTGGACCAAATAGATATAACTAACTTGTTATCATTAATTTTAAACACAACAAAAAAAAATAGTAATCTTAAAAATTTATGAATTAAAACAATTATTTTATCTATACGGTCAATCAAATTATTCTATTTTTTTAGTTTTTTTTTTCATTTTTAATTTTGTTTCCATTTTTTGTTTTGAGAAATGAATTTAAAAAAGTAAAGAAGTAATAGAAATGAGAAAAAAATTGAAAAATGAAATTGCTTATATTTTCTCTTTGTTTCGATAAAATCCCAACTCTCTCAAATCGCCTTTTTTAAACCAAAGTTACAAGTGAATTGGGCTTGAATATTATTTATCTCGATTGTTATTCAATTTTAATCAACTTGGAACTTTCAAGTCCACTTAAATTAAAAAGAAGTTAGAATACAATTAAATTTTTATTTAAACATTTTTACTTTAAGATTTTGAAGTTAATTGCAAATTTTTATTTAGTCACGCGTAAATTAAAAAGTTGACGAAAAGTCATAGAGCGGGAAACACAAATATTAAATTTACATGTAAGTAAGAAATGTAAGGTTCATATTCATATTTCTTCTTCTAATACTATTGGTGTCAATACATTTTTTTTAAATAATAATTTTGCAATCTATGATAAATAAAGAATTTGTTTCTAAATGAAATTATACTAGATAAAAGTATACTGTATTATATAATATTGAAATATTTTCCAAAAAAATTTCCGTAACAAAACAAATATTAGGCCACATTTTTTACTTTGTCATATTGAAATTATTTCGTAAAGTAGTTACTGTAAAATAATATGAGAATTTGATCTTAAAATGATTTTCTTATTGATAATATAGTTATAAAATAGCAATAAATTGTTTTTCAAATACTTTTAAAAATGTTTTACATTTAATATTGTTTCAAAGATAATTTAAAAAAAAAATCTTTGGATATATTTTTATTTTAAAAAAGAAAACGGTTTTTAGAAATAAGAAAAAATAAACATGAACAAAATATTAAATAACTGATGTACCATAAGAAAATAAACTAAAACAAATTTCTAGGGTTAGGGTTTAAATGATCATAACCGTAGTTTATTTCTTCATTGTTGGGAGTAGATTGGGAAGCAGAGGAACAATGTCAAAGAAGAACAACCTCGCCAAGAGAAAGAAGCAATACGAATTCGATCTCCAAAGTACTTTCATCTTCGATTTCTCCCTTACTCAATCTCAGTTTCAATATTCATGTTTTGATTTTCGTGTTTGTGTTGATTTTCATTCAGGGGAGAAGCAAGAGAAGCAAAAGAAAGAGAAGAAGCTCCTTGCGAAGAAAAATAGTATGAAAGTCAGTGCTTGCTTCTCAATTCCTTTTTTTTTCGCTGGGATTTTACTGTTAAAAGAGTTGATGATTTTTGGTTTTGGGTTTCCTGTTTTTCGTTTGGATTTTAATTTTGTTATGTAAAAGGATTTTAGCTTTTTTATGCGAAAAAATTGGTCGTTGAATACTGAGATAATGGATCAAATTTAAAGTCTGTCATTCTTCTTAATTGATTTAATGCTGAAGTAACCAATGGTGGCTGCCCATTGGTTTTTGGATTTAGGGTTTAGTGCAGAAGGGGTTAGTTTCTAATGTGACCAACAGAGGTTTGAAGTTTTATTAGTAGAGATACTCACATTTAGTGTCCAACTTTGACTCGACCAGGTTTACCTCCAAAGGTGAATACGTTGTTGAGGGAAAAAAGGTTGAAACCTGTTGAGAGAAAAAAGAGAGTTGAAAGTTGAAATACGATAAACAGAATGTATGCTATATGATCTGAATATTAGATTCTAACTTTGGACTTGAAGGAAAACCAAAAGTATAGGAAGTTTGAATTGTGTATTTTTTTTATGTGTTTGTGTTTGAAGATTAATGTCTTTTGTTTGGTTTTGTTTTTGCTGAGTATTTAGGTTGATGGTAGAAACAAGAAAAAGGGTGGATTTCAGGTGGGGAAGAGAAAAGTGAAGGTCAAGTTGACTGCCCTTGCTAAAGCTAAGGCTGCCCAGGCAATGGAGCTTGACAATTGAGGTTTTACATTTGCAGTTTTCTACAATGTATTGAAATTGGTGGATGACAGTGTTGTTTTAAGGTTTAATAATACTTTGTTCTGTTCTGTTCTCTTCAGCTATATATATAACTATGATAGTGTAAGGTGTATATTATGTGACAAATTATGTTATAATATTTATCTCTCTTTTACAAATTTTTCGTCCAATCAACTGCTTGCTTCAACTTCTACATCTTTTAATTGATTGATACGATTTTATACTTGTGTCTTCTTTATGCTATGCTCGCTGCTTACACAGCATGTCTGTCTTGCAAGTAATTTGCCGAGATGAAGAGAGTTTGGCATTTTGTTTTCATGAGTTATTATGCTTTCTGTGTGCACTGGATGGTGTAGAAGAACTAGTGAGGTGTAATTGATGTCATTTTTTTGGTTTCAGTTATGTAAGTTTTATGGATTTAGATATCAGCAGAAAGGTTTCATGTCCACAAAATCTCCTTAGTTCTGCAATTCTATTTGATTTTGAGGCAAAATGGTATGCTTGTGGTTTAAACTCTTTATTAAGATACCTGGAAAAGGCAATGGATTCTCTCATGTTAAATCTGAACATAACTAGATCTTGTTCAAATCGTGTGTGTCTCTCCCTCCCTCGTAACGATTATTTAAAATGATAAAAATTGTCGTTAGAAAGTATTAGTAATTAACTAATGAGTACTACTAAAGGTATTGCCTAAATTTATCAAACCATTCAAAGTCTGAACTCGTGCCATGCCTATGGTAGCAATGTGCATATTCTAAGCAGTAGATTCTATTATATTTCTCGCTTATTCATTTTTTGGAATATGCCCTGTTTGTAATGCGTGCGAAAAACACCAGATTGAAGGAGATTGACTTCTGAGACTTTATTCCTTTCTGAGAAAAGTGGAAACAGAAGGCAGTGTGGCAAGAAAATGAGAGAAACTGGTAAAGAAAATAACTTGAGAATAGAAGTTAAATTTACTAAGACTATTAGTCTCTTCATTTTCTCTATTAGCAATATAGTATATGACTTCAAAATATTTTGTAACCTCTTAGTGGAATGCTAGTCTTTATGCTTCAATCAGACAATTTGGCTGCCAAATGAAATGTGTTGTTGCTTCTCCATACTACTTTGTCCATGGTGGAAGGGTTGATGAACTGACACAGACACACACGCACGTACGTATGTGTATTTCAATAGTTTAAAACTGTCTGGAGAATTTTATAAGGAAAAAGAAAGAAAAATAAAATCATTTTCTTTATTAATTAAAATTAATATATCCATAAATTGATATATAAAAGTTATTTAATAAATTGATTTTAAGTTGTAGAAAGATTATTTTTTTTCTTTTCATGGATAAAGTATAGGCCCTCGTATTTATGCCTTTTAATATATCCATTTCACAAAACAAATTCAGACCAAGGAAAATAGAAGTGTGCTCAAGGAATTAATACTTTCAAGTGTCCTTAAGAAATAAATAGATTTAAAAGAAAAGAAAAATATTTTTGAAAGCAATAAACAAACACTTGTTGTTGGTCTTGTCTGGGGTTTGGTGTATTGGGCCAGACTTGGGTGAATGAGGCTCAGCCCAGAATCACAAGCATCAGTGACCCAATAACTCCCCATGAAATAAAGACAATTAATATTTCCATTTGTCAGTTCTATGTAAACACTTTATTTTTTGAAAAACTTACATTTCAGAGAGTTAAAATTTGACCATAATTTAAAGGTATTTTCTGAAGTGTTAAAATTTTAAAACATTCTCACAAGAAACTCTCTGGAGACTAAAATTTAGAAGAAGAAAAAAAATGAAACACTAGGAAAACAATCTTTGTATTATTTTGAACAATTGATGGAAATGAAGCAGAAGCCAAACACATGGTTTGATATTATTGGAGTGTTTGTTGTGTGGAGAGTGATTCAAAATTCAAATGTGAAGAGGGGCAAGTTGCATTAAAGAGATTGTGACCACACATAGCAGACAACCTCATTTGTGAAAACCACATGGACATGACATGACACAATGTTATCCAGTTATTCCTCTTTCCTTGTGTTCAATATTCATCACACGCCTTGCCTCACATAATCAATGTCACAATGAAAGTACACACTCTATATGCCTACTATATTTGAAATTGTTTTTTAAGTTGTTTTTTAATTTTTATATAATTTAAATTGAAAAATATTTAATATTACAAGTTAAATATATGAAAATTACACTATAAAAGTTATAAAAAAAAGAAATTTTTAAATTGGAAATCAAAAAACAAATTACTTTTTTATAAATAAATAAAAATGATTGGTACTTGGTAGAATGACCGGTTTAAATACAATTGTTTTTTAAATTAAAAAAACAAAAAATTAAAACAAAATAGAAGCAGTAAAAAGTTTAATAAAAAATTAAAGTTTTTTAAAATTATAATATAATTACATAATAACATGTTTTATTTAAAAAGTACAGTTTTTATTTGTATAATAATACTTATGTTGATATATCATTTTATGTCATTTTATATTTATTAACTAACTTATCTAATTTTATATAAGAAAAACATTAAAAATATTCTTTTAAAATTAATTCATCTATTCACTTTTACTTTATGATTAAATATTTTCTATATTTTTTTCTAATATCTTCCCTTTATCAAAAAGGGGTTAAAAGTAATATACTTGATAATTCAATTATATTATACACAATAATTCAATGATATTATATGTCATCGATGTAATAATTCTATAATAGCATATGTTACATAATTATACAAAGAATTTAGTTTTATAATTTTTGTATTGTATAGAGGATATAATTATATATATATATATATATATATATACACTTTTTCCTAATTTACTGTTAATAATACAAGTAATTATAAAATTGTTACAAGTTTCAATTTTATTTTGTTTTCTTTTTTATCCATTCATTCTGTAACATCCCAAATTCTCATACTTGATATTACATAAATAATATGAAAACTGTAACATTTCTACAGTCATTCATTTGAAAATATAAAATATCTCACATTAATTACATAAATTTAAACTCAGATTTCAACTTAAAGATAACCCGAGTTTTACTTTACTATCCTTCCTCCTCCGTCTTCACTTGTATTGGATTAGACGACGCTCCTTCATCTGCTCCCGTATAACAAATACGTTATACGATCATCGCAAAAATATGATTTTTCCGGTACATGCACAAATAAATAAGGGTGAGCTACCATGCAACCAATTATTAAAATGAGGCATGATACTACTACTACGCCTAACTC